GACACAGAGGCCAAGAGGAGAAAGGAGGAGGGGAAAGGTGAGACACCAGAGGAAAAGTGGGAGGAAGTGGAGGGGTGTGTGTGTGTGTGTGTGTGGATGTGTGTGTGTGTGTGTGTGTGTGTGTGTGTGTGTGTGTGTGTGTGTGTGTGTAAGGCAGGGACATGTCTGCGGATATTAGGACCCTGCTGACCTGATGTCCCAGATCCCACGCGACACAGGCACAGCCGTGTATGTGGTATGAATTCATACGCATGTCCTACTTTCTCTTCTATTTCTAGGCGTATTTGATGACAATTGTTTTTAATTTAGTGATTTCTTTTTCCTTGTGAATTTTACCAGAATAGATGTTCCCAACCTTTTCCAGACCCCCTTAGTGACTTAGTAATGTATACGTGGCACCCCAATACCTTAGTGGTTTGGTTTCTTAGTACTCAGCTATGGTGAAGCAGCTATCTGTCTTCTTGCTCTTGGACACTTGAGAAAAGTAATAGCTACACATTGAAAGGAAAAGTAATATTTTAATCTAATTTTAAAATAAGTACAATTACTAATAGGCCATCTCTTCGGTATGCTGCAGTTTCTCACTTTGGAATCAGTGGCAAACTGCCACCCTCGCTTCCTGTTCCACATTGATTTTTGCGCTGCCCTTGCCTTTTATCCCAGCAACCCCTGAAAACCCAGCTTTATAAGAACTGCCTCATCAGGAATGACAGGAAATGCCTGCAGCTGATAGTTCACACAGTGCCCACCAGATGTCACCAGATTCCCTTGACAACGGAACCTTTCTTCCTCCCCATCTGAGGTTATGATGCAACAGTTATGGCTGTTTTTTCTATAAGTAGTCCTTAGGAGGCTCTGCCTTTCTAGAGCAGATTGGACTTGGTTGAAATTTGATTAGCTATTGGGAGGTTTTAGCACTATAAATGGTCTGTCTCAGAGGTGCTCACCTGGCTGGGAGTTGACAGCAGTGGGCTCCTTACGCCTCCGGTCACATGCAGGAGAAAACAAACTAGGACAGAGTGTACTGGTCTTGCATGCCTCTGGGGGTCACAGTGTTTTGTATCTGATAGTTCTCTCTGTCACCAGAAACAGATCCCCCAACAGAAAACCTCCAGCATCCTGAGGTGACAAAAAAGGAGGGAGCAGAAGAGGAGCACCAGCCCACACCACCCCCTGAACCCTCAAAGGCTGCCAGTGAGTTTCTGACCTCGGCAGGCCCATCTCTCTGGTTCCGAGGTCAGATGTTGGTGGAGGACAATTGCTGTGTCTTTTGATTTAATTTTTGAAACTACCAGCACTTCTGTTCCTTGCTTCCTCCTGCCTCCCTTTTTTCCACAGGACCTTTGCATGTTTGTTTATGTCCACGAGTGGTTTATTTGTTTGTTTTATAGATTTACTTATTTATGCATACAAGAACTGGGGTACAGGCCAGAGGTGCTGGGGTAAGAGGATTTACCAGAGACAGAGTGGGGAACAGAACAGGCAGATGGACCAAAATACATTGTTGAGAGGAGCAGTGAGTGAGACAGGAGAGGTCTCTGCGCCCTGTGGGTCACTCCTGGGCTGGAGATCGAACTTGTGTTGCAGTGACTGCTAACTGCTTCCTAGTGCTGTGCTTTAGCCCTTTGTACCACCAGGGAGTTCCCATGCCCACTAATTTTTGTAAATATTTTACTTTATCAAATCATTTGCTATATAAATACCCAGGATTATGTTTAACTACATATAATTCTCTCACATTCCTTTGTTTTAAACAAGATATAGATCCTCAAATGTCCACTGAGAATGCTAGTGGGGTTTTGGATTTAATTTTTGCCATTGTTTTTGCTGTTCTAAAAGTCGTCCCCCAATGAAATAGAGCTCTCGAGATCACAGGTAATAAGCGTTAGCCATTGAGCAGTAGTTTTTAAATGAGATGGCCTCATTTAAGGCTGAGTGACAGATTTTGAGAGGCTCAATCTCTGCTCACCCTGAGACTCCTGTCTTATAACCACACGGGGACATTTTTAGGGTTCTGAGTCATATCTGATTTTCTGCAATTGTAGAAGTGGGAACATTTGCTTCTAGTCTAGCAGCTGCACTTCCTTTCCACCACCATTCAGCTCAGTGGACTTGATGGTGAAATTCTACAGGTTAATCCAGTTTGCCAGCGACTTCTCTTCCTGTGATGTTGTTTCATTCAAAGTGGGCTTCTTATAACACTGAGGAGGAAAATGAATCCTGATTGACATTGAACAAAAAAATGACACTTGAGGCCCTGTGTTTGTTAAACATCATTTCTTTCTTTTTAAGATTTATTTATTTATGCATACAAGAACTGGGCTGTAGGCCAGAGGTCCGGGGGGGTGGGAGGAGGGGTGAGTGGATTTGCCAGAGACAGAGTGGGGAGCAGGACAGGTGGAACTACTGAAATACACTGCTGAGGGAAGCAGCAGGGAGATAGATGTCTGCCACACCATGTGGGGTATCTCCTTGGCTGGGGATCGAACTCATGTGGCAGTGACTGATGATGGCTTGATAGCATTGTGTCTTTAACCCCCTACATCCCCAGGGAGTCCCTGTTACACATTATTTCTCTTCAAGTCACAGTTTCCAATGATGTTAACTGGCCAAATAACGTCAGGCTTGAGAGGAGCATGACGTAGGTGCGGAAAGACGAGGGTAGTGTTGGCTTTGTTTCCATGTGTAGAGTCAGAATGACTTGTGATCCCTTATTAGAAGCAGAGCTCCTGGCAGAAAGCGTCTCAGAGCCTGAGGTGGCGTTGAAGGAAGAACCAAGGGAGGAAGCACAGGCACCCCCTGCCCCTAGAGCTCCCAAGACTCTGAGCAGCTTCTTCAGTGAGTTTCTTCCCCTACCTTACCTGACCTTCTGCCTTACCTCATCTCCACCTGACTTCACCCCCACCTCCTGCCTCTCCTTACCTTTCTCCTCCCCCATCCTTCCTCACCTTCAGCTGTCCTCCTACCTCCTGCCTCAAACTCCAGTTATCTTACCACCTTACTTTCCCCTCTCCTCCCACCCCACTTTCTAGGTTGTGCAGGAGCAGGTGGTGGGTGGGTCTTTCTCCAGTGAGTGCTACTAGTCCTTCATCTCCATCACCCTTTTCTCAAGTGTCTAACATGTTGGGCCAGTTGTGGGGGGTGTCAAGAAAAGGAAGGACCCTTGATTTTCTTCGTCCCAGCTCCCCGAAAGCCAGCAGTGAAAAAAGAAGAGGGCTCTGGTACGTCAAGAAAGGAGGAAGCCAAGGGGTGAGTTACATCCAGTAAGCGTCTCCCAGGCATGACCCCCTCGCTCCAGTCCACTGCCTAGAACTTGTGTGGGTGCCTCTGTGGCAGGGTTAACTGTACAGCTGTAACTGTGTTCAGTGCTTTGAAGAGAAAACACCTGCGTTTGCTTTGTTTCCATTCCCTTCTGGCTCGAACAGCACTGGACATATTAGGTGTTAAGTAAGTATTCGTTGGAAGGCTGAGTGCCCTGGTCAGCTCTCTCTCTGCCTCCACAGACCCCTGGATCCAGCCAGCTACAATCCTGCTAAGAACAACTACCACCCTGTGGAGGATGCCTGCTGGCTGCCGGGCCGGAAGTGAGGCTTTCCCCACCCCCAGGCTGTCTTCATCCAGCCCTATTGCTACAGGGGCCGTCCAACCCAAACCTTCGTAGGAGGGGACTCTCTGCCTCTGTGGTTTGGGGATACAGTTGGCCAACTGGAGCGGGGAGAGAACACCTTCTTCCCCCCTGACATGCATCAAGAGGGTGGTGTGAGCAGACTGTCCCCAGGGAGGTGTGGGAGGCCTGGGGTCAGTGGGTAGTTGGGATGACATGGGTTGCACATACTCTTGTCTCTTCCTCCCCAGGGTCCCTTACTTGGCCGTGGCCCGGACATTTGAAAAGATCGAGGAGGTTTCTGCTCGGTACTGGATGGGGACAGAGTTGGCGTTGGCCTGAGGGGGTGCCCTTCGGCTCTGTTCTTATCTTGTGTCCTGAATCCCATGTTGGGCACTTGCTGTGCCTCTTGAAGCCTGATCCTTCTACTTCTCCTCTTTCACTCCCCCTCCACCAGAGGGGCCACTGCGGGCCCAGGCTCAGGAGTTGCTGCTCCTTGTTGTATTAGTCTGGGGTGGTGAGCCCAGAGCCCTGGGGTGGGAACCACTGAGCAAGCCCGTTGACTTTTCTCTGTGAACCAGACAAATCCCAGGTCTGGGTTATCAGGAGAACCTCCTGCAGGGCCCTGTTTTCCCTGCCTCCCCACCCCTGGCACCATGCCTGTATATTAAGTATATGTCAGTGTTCTCAGGAACTTCTCATTCTGCTCCCCACTTTTACTGTCAGTGTGGGGGACTCCAGTTGCCGCTACTCCACAGCCGTCTCCATGCTCCTTATGTGTCATTGCTCCCTTCTTGACATAGTGGAGCAGTTACGCTGTTTCCAGCACTTTGCTCAGCAAAACCTGTGTCTGTGAACAGGGAAGGGCCTCCTCTGAGGTGTGAACCCCACAGTGGGGACAGATAGCACAAGCTATGGCACCTATGGGTGGCTGCAGTGTGCAGGCCAGTTTACCAGAGCATGGTCAAGAGCCAGTGGCTGGGAGTGGGCCAGCTCTGCTGCTTCCTTCCTGTGTGACCACAGGCAGGTGGCCTGACCTCTCTGAACTTAGGCTTCCTCATGAGTGAAGTAAAGGTTGTCCTGTCTCAAGTTTGCAGTGAGAACTGTGATGTGCAAAAGTTCGTTTACCTTATCAGAAAGCAGGTCAGAAGCAGTGTCCCCACACACCCATGACCAGCTCGCCCTCATGTTAGCGTCAAGTCCCAGCATGAAGACAGTTTAAAACCTGAGCACCAACTTTGAGCAAATACCCTGGTTCACGTCTCAGCTCCATAATTCCTCGTGCTGTGACCAGGGGCAAGTGGCAGCATCTTTTGTGCCTGGGTTTCTTCCTCTGGAAAACAAATGATGGGTCTCCACATCCTAGTGGTCAGATTTGTAGGAGTTAAAACCCGCAAAGTATTGAAAGCCAGTGCCCAGTATAGGGGAGATAGCTCACTGTTGCTGTTGTTTGTCCGGAGATGGTTACCCGCGTCTCTTGGCTATGGGGTGCCAAGCCCAGTAACAGCTGTGATGTGCCGGCAGCCCCACTCACACACCTGATACTGTGGGAGCCCTTTCCTGGGTCCCTTGTACTCGCCACAATGCCTCTGAAGTCCTAGGCAATCACCTCCTTGTCCCGTCTTCCAGGCTGCGGATGGTGGAGACACTGAGCAACTTGCTGCGCTCGGTTTTGGCCCTGTCTCCTCCAGACCTCCTCCCCATCCTCTATCTCAGCCTCAATCGCCTGGGGCCACCCCAGCAGGGTCTGGAACTTGGTGTGGGGGATGGCGTCCTTCTCAAGGCAGTGGCCCAGGCCACAGGTAAGCAGGGTTGTTGGGGGGGCATCAAGGGGGCGCCCTCCAAGGAGGCCAGAGATCCAGTGCACATGACTGAGAATCCCATCCAGGCCTCAGGGAAGGGAGACTTGCTGCCATCTGCCTCCCCAAACTCATCACGCCGTCTCTGTACCCCAAGGTCGGCAACTTGACTCAGTCCGGGCAGAGGCCACAGAGAAGGGTGACGTGGGACTGGTTGCTGAGAACAGCCGCAGTACTCAGAGACTCATGCTGCCCCCGCCCCCACTCAGTGCTGCTGGGGTCTTCATTAAGTTCCAGGACATCGCCCGGCTCTCCGGCCATGCTGTGAGTCGGTTGGCACAGACCCCGGACCCTCTGCTCTCTGTCTTTGTGCAGGGGTGTGTGGGGAGGGGTGCAAGGCATGTGTGTGGCAGGATGGGCGCTGGGGAGACTATGTGAGGTCACATGACCCGAGTTCTGTGTGTGGCCTGCTGAGCTTTCTCTCCTTCACATTCAAGATGGGTGCTCTGCTGGAGATCCTTACACATGCACTGGGCATGTGCTGGGACTCAGTAGAGACTTATTGAGGCAAGCTGGGGAGAGAGGCAGAGAGGAGAGATGGCCTTTCTTAACCACCCAGAGAGCAGGACCCATGGAGTCTAGAATTGGGGGAGGGAGAGGGGCCGGTTTTCCAAGGGTGGCTGGGAAGAGGTGTGGCCCAGAAGCTCACACCACATACTCTGCTGTCTCCTCAGTCTACAGCCAAGAAGATGGATGTCATCAGGGGCCTCTTTGTTGCTTGCCGCCACTCAGAAGCCCGCTTCATTGCCAGGTGAAGGTGTGGGCCTGTGTGGTTAGGGAGATGAGGAAATGGGGGGGACCAGCCATTGCAATCATTGCAAGTATCCTGAAGGCCCTGATAGGAAAACAGCACCAGCAAGCATGCCCTGACCCTGAGGGGCAGAAAAGGAATATACGTACAGCCTGGGCATGGGGCCAGAGGCTTGGGAGCAGAGCCAAAATGGATTAGTGATGTCTGCTGTGGCCTGCGTGTGCTGGCTGGGCCCAAGTGTGTGAACCCAAGAAAATACAGTAATGGATGACTCACATTCTAGAGTAGTTCTTGGGTACTCTATTCTTGGCGCCTTGATCATCTGTCCATCCCTGTATCCCTGCAAGGAAGCCCTGTAGCCTCTCCCTTACAGAAAAGTTTGCCGTGAGGGCAAGCCTTAATTCTCAGGTCTCTGACTAATGGTGGGGCCTGTGCCAGGAATGGGTCCTTAACCCTTACTCCTCAGCCCCCCTTAAGCTATGTTCTGGATCAGGCCCAGCTCTGCCTTGCCCTTCCCCAGCCTCACCATATTCTCAGAGTGCAGCTGAGTTGAGGCAGAGACAGCCGCAAAGCACCCCGCAGTGTCCCTAGGAAATGTCAATAGTAATGGTCATGACTGGCTGACCTCAGTTTTCACCTCGTTAAATGAATGCGTGGGAGCTCTTGGCTTCTTTCCAGCTCTGAAGAGGGTTCTGGTTTTGACAAGAGGGTGTTCAGAGGTTGCGGATGGGGAGAATAGAGGAGGTAGCAGTAAGGTGTGGCAGGCAAGGTTGAACAGGTATGCACGGGTCTCCCTTCTCTCCCTAGGGCCCTGAGTGGACGACTCCGTCTTGGGCTAGCAGAGCAGTCTGTCCTGGCTGCCCTGGCCCAGGCTGTAAGCCTGACACCCCCAGGCCAAGGTGAGCCCCTGACCAGGTCCCCTCTCCCTACTTCTGTTCCCTTTGCCACTGGAGGTTTCTCTCCCCTGAGGAAAAGTCCTCCTTTTTTCTCATCTTGGGTGGTGATTGTGTTTTCCTACACTGAGGTACAATATAACACCCACTGTGCACTCTGGGGTAACTGAGCAGGCGGGCCCATTCCAAAGCCTCTTCTGCTGGGTCTTCTCTTAGACTTCCCACCAGCCGTGGTGGATGCTGGGAAAGGCAAGACTGCAGAGACCAGAAAGTCATGGCTGGAGGAGCAGGGCATGATTCTGAAGCAGACATTCTGGTGAGAACATACGGTCAGGCAGCCAGGGGGCAGTGGGCTCAACACCAGGGACAACCAGTGATGTGGGAGGGCAGTGGGTGGCGCATGAGGGATTACAGGGAGTTTTCCACACCTACCTCCCAATCTTAGGTGTTCTGTAGAGGCTATCACTGGGGTTAGCCTTGTGCGCCACTCAGGTGGTCCCACTGCCATGTCTTTCCAGGGGAAAGGTCCTTGGACAGTGTTTGGGAGCAGGGAGGCAGCCAAGAGTGCATTCTGGAAGCAGGGGCAGGGACTGCTCCAGAGTCATTGCCTCCCCCACACTGTGCGCTCATGTCCACCCCCGCCAGCACCTCTGCCTGTGGAGGCAGGGCCCACCTTGAGGAGACTTATTTGCTGTAGTGGTTGCTATAGATGGAAAGTCACTGGTCCCTTGATGGGCAATGGGGAAGATCTAGGCCAAAGGAGCCAGTGATGTTTAGTGACACTGAGGGAGGACCAGAGAAAAGCGGGTGGACAAGGACATGCAGGAGCAGACACACGGACCTGGTGACAAGCGGAAACAGATCTTGCAGCCAAAGAGCAGTTACCAGGCTGCCTGAGTTCTGGAAAGAGTCCCAACTTGTTCTTGCCCCCTGACCCCAGCGAGGTGCCTGACCTGGATCGAATTGTCCCAGTTCTCCTGGAACACGGCCTGGAGCACCTCCCAGAGCACTGCAGGCTGAGCCCAGGTACGTCCCCAGGGGCCCCTCAGGCCGCACACCCTCTGCCCACAGCCTCTTGTACCTCCACCTTAGCTGTGGTCTCTTGGAGACTAAAATGTCATCAGATGACATGGGACTGCCATCCCAGTGGAGAGGTCGGGCACCCTTCTGACTGGGGTGTTGCTTTCATCGGTGGTGAGGAAGGAGAATAGGTCCTGGCTCACTTCCTCTCTGACTCACCCCCACCCCCTTTTCCCTCACAATCTACTCTTTCAGGGATCCCTCTGAAACCAATGTTGGCTCACCCCACCCGGGGTGTCAGCGAGGTGCTGAAACGCTTCGAGGAGGCAGCTTTCACCTGCGAGTACAAATACGACGGGCAGAGGGCACAGGTGGGCAGATGGGCACCTCTCTTTAGACCTGAGCTGCCACCGCCGCACACAGCCTGCGAGCCTGTCAGGGCCTAAGTCCCCACCTGAAACAAGGCAGTGGGGCTTCCACAAACGGCCGGGGGTGCTGTGTGAATAAGGTTGCGCTCTGATCTCTATGCCCATTCCTTCTCCAGAGCTTCTAGAATTTTGTCCAGGGAAATGGGGGTCAGAAGGAGGGGTGGCTTGGGCTCTGATTTCCTCTCCCTCCCTCCATGTTCAGATCCATGTTCTGGAAGGCGGGGAGGTGAAGATCTTCAGCAGGAACCAGGAGGACAATACTGGGAAGTACCCTGACATCATCAGCCGCATCCCCAAGGTGGGCATCTGCTATTAGGGGCACCAAGAGCTGAGGCCCATCCAGGCCTACTTGGGGGACGTGCCTTGGGGCAGTGGTTATTGGCAGGAGGTTGGAATGCATTTTGCACATCATGGAACACCTAACACACACTGGCCCTTTCTCAAAGAAGCCTGGACCAGGCGCTGCAGGCCCCACTGGCTCCAGTGCGTCCTGACTTATCCCAGGCCCAGCTCGTTCCTGTCTCTGTCCTCTGCTGTTCCCCTTGGCTTTTCACTCCACACTTCCAGACAGAAAGGCACAGGAGAAGGAGTTCCAGCTGCTCTCCCCTTGCATGAGGAAAGTTAGCGCTCTCTGGGTCTCTTCCAGCTCACCTGGCTGTCCCTGGCCAACTCCATTTGGGCTTCCTGGCCAGTGACCACCCTGGGGTGGCAGTGGAGTCTGAGGAGCTGGGATTTCACTCTCCAGCCGGCAGTGACCCGAGAGAGGGCTGGGCGATGACCAAGAAGAACCTTCTTTTTTAGCAGGGGCTGTGGGGTGTTTATTAACAGGGATGTGCTGGATCAGATAAGGTTAGACAGGTCAGTGCAGGAGCGGGGAGACAGGATGAAGAGGTGTGAAGGGCGGGGAGTGGATGCCTTAGGCTTCAGAGGGACTTGGACAAGTTCCCTCGGGAACCGGATGTGGAGTGAGAGGTAGAGGGAGACAACAGAGGCTCCCAGCTTGTGGGACCAAACAGTAGGTCATGGAAACTTCACTTTCTTCCCCTCAGTGGGGGTAGGAAGCAAGGATCTGTGTTCCTGTGGCTCTGGCACTGGGGTCAGTTCATCCGTGGATCTTGACAGCTGTGGAAGGAAAGGAAATTCTGTCCCTGTGTCTGTCTTTTGGCTTTGTCCTCCCCTTCTAACTACCCTTTCCTTGTAGATTAAACTCCCGTCAGTCACATCCTTCATTCTGGACGCTGAGGCTGTGGCTTGGGACCGGGAAAAGAAGCAGATCCAGCCATTCCAAGTGCTTACTACCCGTAAACGCAAGGTAGCCTCAGCCCCTCTCCTCTGCCTGCCATGGTCTCACAGTCCCTCATCTTCCGGCTCTGTCTGCCAGACAGCCCACTATTCTCTGTGCCTCTTCCATTATGGCCGCTGCATGTCTTACCCTGTCACACCAAGTAGGAAGGGAGATGGGGGAGAGGGATGGGCTTATGTCTGTTTTATTATAAAAGAAGATCTGCTCCAGGAGAACAGCTCCAGCCTGCCCACAGCTGGCTGACTGACTCGTCACCTACAGTGGTGTCGAGAACCACCATTAACTGCACGGCAGTTTGAGAGCAGCTGTCTGCAAAGGGAAATGAAGCCCAGGTTCGCCAAGAGCCGCAGGGCTTCAGGGCAGGACAGCGTTCTTGCTGCCCTCCCAGTGTGCAACCTGTGAGCAGGGGGTGAAGGAACGTGGGAGGTGACTGCTTCAGACCCCATCGCAGCCCCCACTCCTGCTCTCTGTTCTGCCTAATCCAGGAGGTGGACGCTGCAGAGATCCAGGTGCAGGTGTGTCTGTATGCCTTCGACCTCATCTACCTCAATGGAGAGGTGAGTTCCCGCTTCATGTGGTGGGGCAGCAGAGGTGGTGAGCTATGAGCTCTGGAGCTGGCGGCCTGGTTTCGTTTCCAGCCGCGCCACATCCCTGAGCTGGGACGTCACTCTTGACACTGGTTCCCAAAGTGTGCCCCTGAACTCTTGTGAGTTCCTGCAGCCCTTCCAGTGTGGCCTGTGAGGCTCTTCCTTTTCCAGTCCACATCTGTGTGAAGCAACCTTTGTGTGTGGCGACCAGAACTGTTTCACAGCCCTCTGAGCTCAGAGCAACTGCGAGAACCCCGCTTCTTTTAGGCCTGATGCTAAGTGCTTTGGGAAAATGTAAAAGAGTGGATCTTTTCTGATTATTTTAAAATGCAGCCCTGTTCCATAAAGAAATATGTTTTGGGGTTACTTTTAGATCTATTGTTGTTTTTAAATGAACAGTGTTTTTTTAAGATTCTCGCTTTTAATCTGACACATGTGGACACATGATATAACAATGTGTGGTACCCATCAAGTGATGTGGCCCATACACAGGGTTTTGGAGTGAGTGCCCAGTGTGAAAGGGTCCCAGAAACTGCTGCCCATGGCATTCATTCTCTTTATTTCCACAATCACATCCCTTCCCTCGTTCCTGCTGCCTAGAGCCTGGTCCGTGAGCCCCTTTCCCGACGCCGGCAGCTGCTTCGAGACAACTTTGTGGAGACAGAGGGCGAGTTTGTCTTTGCCACCTCCCTGGACACTAAAGACACAGATCAGATCGCTGAGTTCCTGGAGCAGTCGGTGAAAGGTGAGGGTGTCTGGGGCCCGCCTGCCCTCCATGCTGATCTGGCTCCAGCCAGCACAGCTGGTCCAGACCTGCCCGCCCCCCGTCCTAGTGAGCAGGGGCTCACTAGAGCCGTGCTTGTGTCTCTTCAGACTCCTGCGAGGGGCTAATGGTAAAGACCCTGGATGTCGATGCCACCTATGAGATTGCCAAGAGGTCGCACAACTGGCTCAAGGTGACCTCCCACTCCCAGCCCAGCCTCCAACCCAGCCCAGCACAGGGAAGCCTGCCCCTACCTGGTGGCCCCTATTTGAGCCCTTGCTCCATCCCTCTGTTGCAGTCCGCCTCTGACTTCCCTCCCCACTCCTATAAGTCCGTGGTGAGGAACCCACCAATAATGGCTTGAGCTGCCGTGAATCCCACCATGAGAAAGCCAAATGAGGTTTCTCTCCCCACTGAGCTCACCGTCCACGTTGAGCAAGGAAGTCAGGACTTAGTCAGAACCAGACAAATTATTGACTCACTGAGAAGAAAGCAGGTCATCTTAGGCCACGGAGGGTAGTTGGGAAAAGCCCCTCAGAGGCGATGTTCCAGTAGAGATTCAGGTGATAGGACATGAAGGTGGGGAGTGGCAAGTGCAAACGCTCTGAGGTCACACCAACTCAGCATGTGCAGGGAGCAGTGGAAACAGGTGTGGAGAGCAGGTCCTGGATCACACAGGTGTCAGTGGCCACGGTAAAATAAAATTTGGTTTTCCTCTAAGGGTTTTGAAAGACTAGCCGTTAGCAGGTAGTCCTGTGGTCTGGTTGTCATTTTGCCCTGGTCCTCTGCTGCTGTGTGGATGGTGATGGGTGTGAGCTGCTGGGCAGGAGGCTGTTGCCTGGTAAATGAGGGTGGAGGCTTGAGTTGACAGGCGTGAAGAGGGGTAAGGTTGAGCCATCCAGGCCTGCCGACTGGGCTTCCTTGTCTGTGGTCTGTCTCCTCTCCCAGGTGGTAAGCAGCAATAAGGGCATGGGCCTTTCAGCCTCGGGCAGTGTTCTCTGTAGCATCCCCACACCTGAGCACCTGCTGGGGCACACAGTGGGCACTTAATGTTCTGGGGGTGGGTAAATGTTATTTGTGTGAAGAAGCAAGGCAAGCATCTCCATACTGAGGGAAGATCCAGCCAGGGCCTCCGCCTCTGGCCTGTCCCCTCACTCCTTCCTGGTCTTCCATTCTCCATGTTCTTTCCCATCTGCCATCCACATTTCTTGAGCCCTAGATCCCCCTTCTGCATCCTGTGTCCTTAGGGTGGCTGCTACCAGGCTTCTTTTTGCCCCTTTCCCTCCTCAGCCCTGACCCTGCAGTCACAAGGTCCCCGCCTCATCTGCTACCCTTTCTCCTCCAGCTGAAGAAGGACTACCTTGATGGCGTGGGTGACACCCTGGACCTCGTGGTGATCGGTGCCTACCTGGGCCGGGGGAAGCGGGCCGGCCGCTACGGGGGTTTCCTGCTGGCTTCCTATGATGAGGAGAGTGAGGAGCTTCAGGCCATATGCAAGGTACTGGGACCAAGGCTGACGGGAGAAATGGGGAGGTGATTTGACTCACCTGGGGAGGACCACAGCAGGCGCCGCTGACATCCTCCCCATGAAGGATTCTCTCTCCTAGTTTTCAGTGACTTTTCTTACTCATCTGGAAATGAAACAAGCATAATACAGAAAACAGTCTATTCTATTCTACTCTATTGTGGCCTAGAAAAATGTAAGGAATCTGTGCCCTTATGGAATTGATTCTAGCTGTGAATGACAGTGGCTTAAATAAGGATTAAATAAGGATTTCTTTTTTTATTGTGTAATGAGAAGTCTGGAGGGGGCCAAGCAGGCCTCATGTCATTCAGGACCCAGTCTTCTCTCTTTCCCACAGCCGTATTTGGCAAGTGTTTTCTGGCCTCAACTTCACAATGTGGCTGAAAAGGCTCCAGCTATGGCCACACATGCTCCATGCATGTGAGAGGAATATTAGATTTTTTTTAAAGCCTTATCACTGGGGTAAAAGATTGAGAACTTTTAAATAAAGATATATTTATTTATACATACAGAACTGGGGTATAGGCCAGAGGTACAAGGGTGGTGAGAGGATTCACCAGAGACAGAGTGGGGAACAGAACAGGTGGATTGACGAAGTACACTGAGGAGGGGAACAGCAGGTGGGTCAGGAGAGGTCTGCCTCGCCCTGTGGATCACCTCTGGGGTGGGGATCAAATACTCACTAAAGCCGCTGAGGCCAGCTTGCAAGTGTCATGCCACCGGGAGGGCTCAGCTTGAGAACTTTTAAGACTCTCAGCACAAAGGGGCTTTTGGGTTGGAATTTGAGGTTTTGGGCTTGTGGATGCCCATCTGGCTGCATGTTAGCATCAGTAAGCATAGTTTTCAGACTTTGGTGGATGAGAGCCAGCTGCTTTCCAAGATTAGAGAAGACAGTGAGTTTGGAGGTCATTGGGAAGCAGGGGAACCCATTCTAGGCTTTCTAGGCTAGGGAGATGGGGCAGTGGGGAGCAGTTGGGAGGGTGGCTCTCATAGGTGGGAGTGGGAGGAAGTGCAGGCCTCTGGGAAGCCCCTGACCTCGTGTCCCCTCACAGCTTGGCACTGGCTTCAGCGACGAGCAGCTGGAAGAACATTACCAGAGCCTGCAGGTGAGCATAAGGGTCCTTCCTCACCTTCTCGGCCCCTGATTGCAACTGGGGGATTGTTTCTTGGCCTCCCCTATCTAGGGACTCAGGGAGGGGAATCCCCACCTCAGTGCTTCTAGAACACAGAGATCCATCATAGGACAGTTGTGGGCTCCTGAGCTCCTCTTGAAGAATGCAGGGTAAACCCCTATAATAGTGTCTTTTGTCATGGTTAATGTGGTTAGGCTTTTTGGGAGCAGAGGTATAACTCTTTATTACCATGAATTGGTGTCTCTGGGTTCTGTCTCTGACCATTCTTTACTTTTCTCTTTTTCTCTAGGTCTGTCCCCCCGGCTCTACTCCCCCCGCGTGGGTCTCTGTATCCCCTTATCTGAGCCACTGTCTCCCTCTCTTTCTGGGTTCCTGTCCTCTCTCTGGGCGTTTGCCTCCCTCAGTGCCTCTTTTTTGCCTTTAATCTTGTCTCAGGGTCTTTCATTTCTTCCCACTTCAGCTTTTTATTTCTAAGAGTTATCTGTGCTCTCCTACTTCTTCCTTTCTCATACCACCCCCAGCCCTCTGCCTTGACATTGAGACCTGTGCCCCGCTCTTGCTCATTCCTGCGCTTACCTCCGCAGGCCCTGGTGCTGCCTGGGCCCCGTTCTTATGTGCGGGCCGATGGCGCCGTGGCCCCAGACCACTGGCTGGAGCCCAGCGCTGTGTGGGAGGTGAAGTGTGCTGACCTCTCCCTGTCCCCCATCTACCCAGCTGCCCGTGGCCTGGTGAGTGACAGGGGTCCGCGAGGAGGCCTCCCTGAGGAATTCCAGGTGGGAGGGGGGAAAGAAGCGGGGAGCTCCTGCCTTCTCTCCCTGGGGTTATCGAGAAAATTGGAACTTGGCACCGCTGCTCACATCATTAGCCCCTTCGAACCAGATTCCTACCCGGCTGCTGTTGACCATGACCCCGTCTTCCTAACCATAGTGAAGGTTTTGAGACCCCTGTGGCTACTTCCTATTGGTGTGCTTCAGTCTCAGTCCTGGCTGAAGTCCTACCAGGGAAAAACCTGAACCATGCCCAGCCCTAAAACTCTTAGCTTCTCAGAACAGACCCCACACATTAAAAACAGACTGAGATTTCTTCTGATCCTTCCAAATGAAGCTATATGTTCTTCTCTGACAAGGAACTCACTTCCGTTCAAAGGTGGAACTCATAGTTGCCATTTAATTTTGCTTTTGAAATGTCCCTCATGCAGTTGAAATTAATGGTCCCTGGGATGACCAGTGACCAGACCAGCAATTGCTGAGCCTTTGTGTGGGGCAGTTAAAAAGGCTGCCACGGTGTACACCTGCCACTGTGTGCCCTCAAGAAACCTCAGCGCCCCCATCATACAGATGAGAAAGTAGAGTCCTTGTTCCTGTGGCTCCTGCAAGCTGAGATTTAACCCCAAATTTGCTTCTAGAATCCACACCAGCTCTGCCTTTCACCTCATAGTCATAACAGTTGTGTCATCAGTAACTGCTGTGCAGCAGGACTGATCCAAGCCCGTATGATGCCCAGGTGTGGTCCGTGAGGCACACTGTTTGCCTTATTTAATCCTCACAATTCCTAGGCCCCCTAATGGGTTTCAGGAAACTGAAGCCCAGGGTTCAGGAGCATGGAATTGCGGCCACAGACGGTGCCTGCCATCACTCCTCTCTCCCCCAGGTGGATAGTGAGAAGGGGATCTCCCTTCGCTTCCCTCGGTTTATTCGTGTTCGTGAAGACAAGAAGCCAGAGGAGGCCACTTCCAGTGCCCAGGTGAGGCCCCCAGAGGAGGGCTGGGCCCTCGGGGGTAGCCTGGCCTGACTGACCAGCACCTTGGAGATGACCTGCACTGGCCAGGGTGGGCAGGAGGGTGTCCCAGGGCTCTAATGCCATTCCCACCCTTCCCCCGTAGGTGGCCTGTCTGTACAAAAAGCAGAGTCAGATTCAGAACCAGCAAGGCGACGACCTTGACTCCGGAGGGGAGGATTTCTACTGACCCTGCCCCTGCTAGCACAGCGGGAGAGGCCTGGGGGTCTTCTCTCTGGTGCTCAGCAGGTCACTGCTGTCCACCCCACTGGATTTGGGGGGTTGAGTGTGTGTATGTGTGTGCCCGCATGTTTGTGTGCATGCATGTATGTGTGCGTGCGTGCGTCTTCTGCTTGGTTATTTTCAATAAATAATTATTGAGTAGCTACTCTGTGTCTAAGCTCTACTCAGCTTGGGGGTATAGAGGAGTCTGACTGCACAGGCTCTGCCAGCACCTTCCTCCAGCACCTTTCCATAGCAATGGAAATGCTTTACATCTGCACTGTGCACACAGCCTCACACTGACCAGTGCAATTGCAGCAGATTTTTTAGATTTTGTTTTAATTGTTACCTGAACAGCCATATATTGGTAGTGGCTGTTGTGTTGAGAAGTGATAGCTTAAGCTCTTGATACATAAATATAAATACATCAGATCTCTTAGCTGTCTCCCCAGGTGGGCTCTGTAGAGAGCTTTCACAGGTGACAGAGAAGGTACATGGCTTACCTGGTGCTGCTATTGGGGACTCAGAGGTCTGGCTTCAGGCCTGGCCTCAGAATCTTCCTTTTTTGCACCCCATTAAGGCCTGCGGGGGCTAGACCTGTTGGGCACACTGTGCTATTCCCAGCCCTTAGTGCACAGCCTGGCCTGTAGGGGGTGTAATTTTTCCTGACCCAAAAAAGCAGCTCTTCCCTTCTTCCTGCCGTTACTGTGGGTGTGATGGTTGGAGCTGGGCTCCCACTTTGATCATGTGAATCCAAGGCGCCAGCGACTTACTGGGCCTCACATATGTGGGGGGAGGTGATGGATGGCGGGGTTACGGGGTAGGAGGGGGGCTAGGAGCAGGAAAAACTAAATTCCAGTGTGATCATGCCACTATCACATTGGTTTTTGTTTCTTATAACTAACTAAAAGAATTCTCACTGATACTCATCTACCCTCAAGGACAAGCAAGTTAATATGCATTCATATTTGTCAAGTTCAAATGTTTTTGGTTTTTTATTGAGATCTGAGTTTTACAACACTATGTTTTATATGTACAATTTCTCACATCAGCCATTATCACCCCTCTCCCACCACCCATTGTTCACTACTACCCACTACTAGCCAGTGACCTCTCTACTCTTTCTCTTCCACCCCTGCTTTCCCTCTGGTAATCGCCTCCTTGGGTGCTGACACCAACATGACTTAGCCTCACTAGAGGGGAATGCCAGTCTTGAATTATTCAAGAAGGGAAAGGAAGGGATGAGCAGGGGAAGAACAGCTACACTCAGTGGACCCTCTCTGTATCCTCACTTCCCTAGTCAGGTGGTCATGTGACCTTGGCACATGTTCCTGGCTGTGGGGAAGCTGGAGGCCCAGGACCACATCTGCCCATGCCTGAGGTCGACAGGCCAGGCTAAGCATAAGCGCTTGAAAGGCTTGTTGGAAGAGCTGATGCACAGATGCCCCCTTGCTCTAATCCCCATTTCCAAAACTCCAATTCTGTTCTGGGGATACAAGGTCGGCGCCTGAAACTGACGACTCCTCCCGTCCCACTGCAGCCAGCCAGGGAGGCAAGAGCATCGTTGACCTCTCCCCAGTCAGAACAGATGTCTGACCCAGCTGTCACAGCTCTGAGATAGAGGAAACAGCCAAGAGAGGCAGGAAGAGTTGGCAGATGAGTGGTAGAGAAGAGAAGGCTGAGCCACCAAGTGGAACCCTTCCCTAGCCTCTCCATGCAGTTTCCCATGGGCCCTGCCTGCATCTTCCTGAGAAAAGGCTTTGCTGAGAAACAGCGGGTGAGATGGGGGACAAGGGAGTTGGGACAAAGGGCCGAGCAAGGGCTATGTTGGGTGCTGTGAAATAAGGGGAACTGGCATGGAGACCATGAGCTGTAAGGTAGAGTATGGTGGAAACCCCAGGGTTAGTGAAGTAGGTGAGGGTGAATCAGAAGTCAGGAGCAAAATGGGAGAAAAAAAAATGAAAGGGGAATCAGAGTGATGTCTTTGTTGATCGTTCTTTTCTGTGGACACCATTGGGGTGATAACGATGTGATATAACAATGAGATGATGATGAAGATGGTAACCATAGTTACCATTTACTAAGTCATTGCTATGTGACCAACTCTGTGCAAAGGGCTTTGCATTCTGATTTCATTTAATCCTCAGGACTACTCATTAGGTCAGTTTCATTTCCATTTTGCAGATGAGGAAACTGTAGCTTTGAGTCATGAAGCTTAGATAACTAGTAAGGGTTAGGGCCAGGCCTGTTAGGTTCAAATGGGCATGCTTTTAATCATTACATTTTAAGATCATAGGGAGAGAGGAGATTTGGGGGGCAAGGTTCCAAGGATAAAAGGAAATGAGAGGGTAAGAAAGGCTAGAGGTTGCTGAAATTTCCCAGCAGGTACCTTGTATCTGAGACTGACCCTAAGGTATGTCCAGAAGTATGTAGGGCAATTCTTAGAGGATTTAGGGTTGGGGTGCTGGCAGTGATCATCCTGCTTGGATGTCATTGAACACTGTCCCCACACAAGTGATTCTAACACTTGAGGAAAAGGGTGGAAAAAGAATTGGGGTTTCATGGAAAGCAGACTAACCTGGGTATCTCAGGAGACTTGAATTTGAATCTCAGCACTGCACCTGGCAGGAGGCATGTCCTTGACAGAAATGTAATGTCTGCCTTCTTCAGGAGGGGATCCACCACTTTCAAGCTGTGTGCCCTCGAGCAAAGCAGATGCTCGCTGATCCTCAGCTTCCTCATAAGTGAGATGGGGATGACGCTTAGCGCTACCTCAAAGAGCAGTTCTGAAGTTCAAATGAAATAATCATGGAAGCCTGGCTCTGAGTTAGCACTCTGAATCAGCCTACTGTGATCGAGCCTTGCTTTTCTCATCTGGGCAAGATAGAGAATGGATCCCATGCTTCAAAGACTCCTCTGAGCCTAAAAGGCTGGGTGTCTATCTGGGAGCGGGCATGAGGAAGAGGGTGATGGGCAAGTTGTCATGGAATGAGAGGGAGGAGTGAGAAAAGGAAGATGAGAAGAGATGAGGGAAGAATGAACAACAAAGTAAGGAGTAGCTTGTGAGGACAAGGAAAACTGTTTGGAGAAGGGGATGCTGGGTCCCTGTCCCTCTCCAAATTTCTCCCCCCCCCCCACATTCCTTTCCAGGAAAGACCATTGGGACAAGATGAGATTGAAGGTAAAGACCTCTCCCCCAAGTGCCCCTACATACCATCCACCCATATACCTGCTCTCTGTGTCTATACATTTGGCTGTAAATTCCTTCACATGAACAGTTTATGTTCCCCTCCCTTCCCACTCAACTTTCTTGTGAAATTTGCTTCCCAAATCATTTAAAAGAGATACTCTCCCCAATGTCCTGGAGACCCAGGAGTGACACAGGTTTTGTCATGAATTGAAAATTAAGTTTTCTCTTGGTTTTTAGGGTTCCCATAACTTCACCCAAGAATTTGAGGGGTTTCAGGTCTGTTCTTCATTCCCCTTGTTAACATATTTTATATACCATTCCTTTTTGAGATTTTTCTTTTTTTTGTAAACATGTTCTTCTGGAATGAGTCACTAGTTGGTGCCTATTGATGGTGTGAAGAGATAACTTTCCTACACACTGAAGGTTTCGAGTTCCCCCAAAGTCCTTCCTCTTAACTTTCAGAGCTCCGGGAAGCATTTCTTGAGTTTGACAAGGACCAAGATGGGTTCATCTCTTGTAAGGATCTGGGGAATCTCATGAGGACAATGGGTTACATGCCCACGGAAATGGAACTGACTGAGCTGAGCCAGCAAATCCACATGAACTGTGAGACCCGGGGGTGAGAGGTGGTGGGAGGATGTCTGGAGTTAGGGGAGGACTAAGGGTGGAACTGGGAGAGATGTGGAAGGTGCAAAGTAGGTCTGGAGACAAGAAGGGAAGGGTGAGAGGGTCTAGAGGGTTGAAAGGGAACAATTCAGGCTCTTCTTTGAGAGGCAGCTCTTAAAGGGATGAGAGGCATCTGGGTTTTAAATCCCAGTTCTATTATTTACTATTTGTGGTGATTTTGAGAAATCTCCAGTCTTTCCCATCTTTTGAATAAAGATGCTATGTATCCTTAGCTCATGGGATTTTAGGAAGGAGGGTGTGGATTGTGGAAGGAACTGGTAAAGGTATTAATGCAGGTGAAAGCTAGCCACTGGCAAATGCTTAGTAAGTAGTTTATCACTGTCCCCACAAAGATGTACCAGGAGAGCAAAGACGGACCTGCCTCTGACATTGGAAACACGTGTATTTGGAGGGAGCAATGATGAATGTCACCCCAGAAAGTGTGGCTTTTTAGATGGTGACCAGAACTGATTTTGAGAGTGTGCAGCTGGGTTCAGATATCTCTGAGGCATGTTACTGAGTAAACAAGGTTGAATTCAAGGACATGATAGGATGCATATCTAAAAGAGATTTGGTGTTCATTTCATTCACAATCTCCAATCTACAGATGAGGGAACAGAGGGCTAAACCAGTGAAAGTACCGGTCATAGGGACAGTTCTTCCCACCCCATTGCACCCCATCCATGCCTTTTCAGATTAGAGGGACAAGAGGTTCCTGGACAACTGAGAGATACAGCTCTTGGGAGGCAGGAGGATTTGGAACAGATCTATTTGTTAAGAGACTGGAAGGGTAAATGGAGGTCATGGGAGGTTGCAGGCGGTAGGATCTCACTAGAGCCACCTCTCCTGTCCTCAGTGGGGGCCGTGTAGATTTTGATGACTTTGTGGAGCTGATGGTCCCCAGGCTGCTTACAGAAAAGGCTGAGATGATTGGCTCCTAGGAGATGCGAGATGCTTTCAAAGAAGTGAGTCGGGAGTTTCATAAAATCGAAACCTAGACACTCTGAGGTCTATGTTTAGTCATTAATTGTGGACAGAACCCCCCCCCAAGGCCAATTGTTATTTTCCTAGTGGTGGTAGATTAATAGGTAAGGAAAATAACATATTCCAAGGATTTACAGTGGACAGGGTCCTCAATAGCCTTCATTTAGTACAATCCTCACACATGACATTAGCAATAAAGCAATAATGAGTCTTTTTTCCCTACTGTACATGTGAGGTAGCTGAAATTATAACTCTTCTCCAATACCATCTCCCAAATACATGTTATAGCATCTAATTTTTGTGCTTGTAATGGGAAAAAGGAGCCCAGGAAACAGAGCAATCTCTGGAAAAAGAGAAGTCTCAAAGAGGGAATTCAAAGAGCTAAAAACTAATCTGGTTTAACCCACCTGTAGAAGCACTTCAAACGCAAGATGTAGGGAGGATAAGAGGCCTGCTGAGATTCACTGTCATGCCCTGAGAAAATGCTTTCTTCTTTCAGAGCACTTTCAAGAACATGAGGCAAGAATTCAAGGACATGAGGCAAGAAAAAAATAATAGTGTGATATTTGAACACAAAGACCTGGGAGCCAGGCAAATGGGGGTTCAAACCCCAGGAGACCGATGCCTAGTTAGTGCGGTGCCTCCCTGTTTCCTCAAATGATCAAAAGCTGCCTTGACCAGTAGTTCCCTGAATAAGGAGAGACTGTCTCCAACCCCAGCCCCTGGGTACGCAGGGCTGCTAAACCTTGCACAGCAGGCGAGTGTGAGACTGTGGGCTCCAGTCTTTAATTGTATCTCACCTTGATTCATTTCAATTCAATTACTTAATTCCCAGAGACAGTCACCTGACTCTAAATCCAGTTCCTTTCTGTTTATAAACACATGTTCAGATCCCATTACTGGAGAGCTCCCACGTGGAGCAACTAGGACATGTGGAACCACCTTGTCAATCATATACAATTTTCTGAAGCCTAAATAGGCATCAAATATTTCCGGTACAATTTGGTGCCTGCATTGAAAAGTGCTGTAAATGTAAAATACGCCAGAGGAAGACTTAGCACACACAAGGCTCAAGCAGCCTTGTTTGAAGAGAGTGTGAACTAACCCTGCTGAGCACTCACAAAGGACTGGCCAAGGTCACGCAGTGTTTAAAGGAGCCCAGTGTGCATAAAACGAATGCAATACAGCTCATCGTAGCTTTTAAATTTATTATGTGCCAAAATGGTAACTTTTGGAAAATATGGACTTAAATAGAATCAACAATTAAAAATTTATTTCACTTGTCCCTTTTAATTTTTTTTTAACATGGCTGCTGGAAAATTTTAAATTAGCCATAAGGTTAACATTGTATTTCTCTGGGACTGCACTGTGCGAGGGACTCATATTCTAGACTGAGGAGCAGCTGAAAATGCTGGAAGGCAGGAAAAAGGTGTATTTGCAGGAGAGCAAGGGGCCTGGGATGCCTGAAGTGGTATGAGTTGAAAAGAATGTGACAGGGAATTCATTTTCATTAAAAAAAAATGTTCATGCTTTAAAAATAATTATTATTACCGCAGCATGAAATAAATGAGGTCTCTGTGTGCCGACCACAGGGCCAATCATGTAGGAGTCTGCATTACGGAGCAGTGTCAGGATTTTATTCTGAGTGGGGCAGGAAGCTACTGGTGGGTTTTCAGCTGGGGAGTGACAAGATCTGACCTGTGTTTGAAATGGATGTAAAAGTGAAGTTCTGACATGTGAAGAACAGACTGGACCAGGGTCATGGGAAGAGCCAGATCAGGCAGGAGGAAAGCGATGATGTGCCACAGCATAGCTCAGGAAGAATGGCTGGCTCCCAAAGTACTGGACATAGAGCGCACTCAGCTTTCTAGTGGACTGGTCAAACATCTGCAGCATAGGGATTTGGAGGTAGTTCATGAATACAACAAGTACTTAAGCCATGAGTGGAGGTACCCTTTGGGCCACTGAGTCCAGAACAGTGAACCAGGCAGTCCAAATCACCTGCCCTTGTAGAACTGACATTCCAGCAAAGGGCATGGCAAAGTTCTTAGCTTAGTTTTGGACATGGTGACCATCCATAAACATTGTATTTTTATTATTGCCATTGTCGTCATCATCGTAGTTACTTATCCCACCCCCTTCAGTTTGACACCAACGGAGATGGAGAGATCACCCTGAAGGAGCTGCAGCAAGCCATGCACAGGCTTCTGGGAAAGAAGCTCACCCCCCAGAAGGTCTCCGAAATTGTCCAAGAAGCTGATGTGAATGGAGATGGCGCTGTCAACTTTGAAGGTGGGGACAGCTGCTTTGGGAATCCGCCTCCACTCCCTATATGATTTTTCAAGTTGGTCACCTTCCCTCACTTTGAGATGATGATGGTACCAGGGAAGGGAAGGACTGTCTCCAAATCATCCCTGGTCTATAATTTCCAACAGGGCAATTTAGTCCAAGTCGGTTGCATGATTGCCACCTAATAACTTTTTTCTGGGTGCAGGCTTACCCAGGTGTCCAGGTGTCCAGTGGGCATCAGTGGAAACCTGGAAGAAGAATGAAACAGATTTTTAAGGAGGAAGAGCCTCAGGCCACCCTTAGGCAAAGGAAGGTCAGGTTGACCTCAAAACTTGGGTGAGGCCAATAAAGTCATCTGATTTTAAGTCACTACTAAGTCAGACACCACCTGTGTCCATCCTGGGTCTGCCATTTGCTACCCAAGGACCTTCGGGGTCATCAGTTCACCTCATTGGCCTCTGTTTGCTTCTCTATAAAATGATATCCACCTGCTACAGAATTAGTTGAAAAGTAAGATACTCACAGTGACTAGTTAACATGTAGTGTGTCTTGTGAGCATTAGATTGCTTAAAATCCCTGTGATGTAAGCAACAATCCCAGCACCCCCAAAGGAAAAGGGGCCCGGTTATTTCTTAAAGATCACTTAGATCATGTGTGGTTCCCAACATAAGGTCTTGAAAAGAGGATGCTGACTGCTCACACAGGTGCCTCACCAGCAACTTTTCTTGGCAGAGTTCGTGAAGATGATGTCTTGCTGACAAGGATCTGGGAGCCCCAGCCACCGTCTGCTTGGTCAGCACAAACTGAGCATTTGGATGACAAGATTCCCACAGTGGAGGGTGGGAGAGTGCATGGGACCTTGCAGCAGTGTGGATGGAGCTTAGACTGGTAATGAGAGCGTTGCTGGTTTGGGGGGTGGACAGGGGCTGGGGGAATACACTTGTAGTAGGTTACGAAGGAAGACTGCACAGACATCTGAAGAGTACCTGAGTCCAGGGGCTGCTCCGAAAATTCCAAGGATATCCTTTGACTCCCCATTTCCCTAAGTCCCTGAGAACTGCCAATTCTTTCCTACAGCTTTCTCCTGGGGTAGAATAGGTTTTTCTTCTGTCAGACTGTCAAAAAGTTCAATAGCTAGTTGCTGTTCCCCTCCCTGCTTCAATTCCTTCAGATTCCCACAAGAAGGAGGAGGCGTCAATCACAGAACAGCAGCAGGGTTTCTGACTCAGGGGGTGTAGAGATGGTTCATCAAATAAGCCTGCCCCCTCCCCTTTTCTGGATTTCCTGGAAGTACAGTGTATTCCTGCCCACCCCCCGCCCCACCACCTACTTCCTTCTCTCTGGGCCACATATACAGGTCATGGAATTAAATCACAAAGCTGGATTATCCAGGTTTAGGGTGACCTCCATGGAATTAATCCCCTGCAGAAAGGCTGGGATTCTCCCAATCCTCTGCTCCACCAGGTATTCAGGAAATCATCCCTGGACTTCATGCCTGCCTGTCCTGGGCTGCTCTGGGAGGTCACCCCTGTTAGCTGGGAGTCTACACTACCCCTCCATCCTGACAATGGTCGACACAATGAGTCCAGAGGGATATCTCCCTCCCCCTCACCTCTGCCGACCAGCTGCACTCTCAGGCTTTTCCTTGCTTGATTTCCAGTGCTGTGTTTCCCATCATGATGGGTGCCAGTCACCTTTAGCTTACAAATACTAGAAATGTTCTGATTGTCATAAATTGTAAGTGAAAATATTTACTAGAGGCTGAAGATGATGTATTTAACAAGTAAAAGATCTTGTTCTATTTTTTGTGTTTATTCCATGTCAAAATGATAATACTTTAGATACCATGGCTCAGTGGCTATATTATTAAAAACTATACTAGTTTCTTCTTGCTGTTGAAAATATGTTTCCTATAAAATTTACAATAACATATAGGGCTCACATTTTATTTCTCCCAGTGGTCCCGTCCACCCCACTCTAGTGCCTCCTTCCTGGCTTTGGGGCCTGCAGACACTGCTCTTATACCCTCCAGGCAGGTGGTGGTGTACCTTTAAGAGAGTCCTTCTTGCCCCAGTTGTCACCAGAAGTTCTCTTTAAGGTTCTTTAAGGTTTCTAAGATCTCTGAGGATTGGTCGAACTGTTTTGGCCTCAGCCTGCCTGTAGATACAACTGCAGGTCCCCAAAAGAAAAGTTGCTGAAAGTGATTTCAGGCAGGGGCAGTTTGGATGGACTAGCTCTGTGGTTAATGATACCCCAAAATGAGCTCATGCATATCCACAGGGCCCATAAAACGTAGCCATGTGTGTACTAATGAGGTCTTGAGGGGACTGTGGTCATGGACAAGAATATTAATGAACAGAAGAGAAAGTGCTCAGGGATCTTCCAAAGGAGAAGAATGGTTTTGACTGAATAATAGAAGTGCCCTGGACTTTTCTCCTGAGACTGGAAGCAGGGGAGAATCAAAACTAGCATTTGGAAGCACGTCATCTGACATTTCCTAATTTTAAGTTGTAATTGACTATAAACAAGGCTTAAACAAAACAGGAGAATAGAAAGTATTTATATCTACTTTGTGTCTATTGTTATTGTCTTGGGTCCCAGATACATCTTATTAAACCAAATCTTTAGGAATTATACTCATGCTATGTAAGTCACAGGCTTTTTCAAAGTCCTCTTTCAGAATCCTTCTACTAAGGTAAACACAAGTGAAAAGTATGACAATTTTGTCCTCCTTCATATAAGCCATATGAGACCATCTTTCCTTCTAGATAAAGCCATGAATATAAAGAGTGTGAGAGAAAGAAGAATGTGGCAGAGAAAAATGAGGCACTCCAATATATTTTGTTATCACTAGTCAAACTTCAAAATATCAAATTTTGCAAAAACATTTTGCGAGAGTTTTGAGAGTTAAGGAGTCAAACGATTTTTTTCAAGTGTTTGCTTGGATAGGCCAACACAGTTTAATAGTTGAAGATTTTTGAGATTTCCTCAAGCAAACTCTAAATACAACATTCTAGAAAATATATGGTTCAAAAACGTTCCCCTAAATTCTATTCTGCTGTGCATATAAAACTCTTTGTGTTAATATTAGATGTGCTCATTTTTAGCCCAATCAATGCCCAAGCATGCAGAAATAACAGAAAAGAAATTAAATATCAACAGCAAGATGATTTAATGAGATGCATTCAACTTTTATCCTCTTTATTCACTTTCTAAGGGATTCTTGGATCTCACATGGCTAATAACAAAGGAATATGATTGAGGAGCTATTTCTAGAACAGGAAATTAGTGACAGATCTTAAATTATGATGGATGTGGAACAAAGATGGTGGATGCAGTGATGAATCCTTTAGGGATAACAAGTACCTGCTCCTTACCATGCTTCGATTTGGTGTTCATAAATTATCTTTCACAATAGCAGAAAGCTAGTGAGCCAAAGACCAACTGTTCTGTTGTAGAATGTATTCTAGAACTGCTTTATCCTGTTTAGCTGAAAGATGTTCAAGCAAGAAAGGAAAGCAGCAATTACTTGTTGAAAGGCTGCTGGAACAATAAAGATGCTAAACATGGTGGCGCACAGCTCCTGGGTGGTCAAGGATGGACGCTGACATCACAGAGCAAGAACTTGGTGTATGAGGCCCATTCAGACGTCCTGAAACCCTCTGCCTTGAGAATGGAAGTGCTTCTTATCTGATCCCAACTCAAGAGAGGTCTTTCTGGGGAAGAAGTTGAAGTGATTCCCAGAAGGTGAACCCCAAAGTGCCGACAGGAATTTGCAAATGACTTCATCATCTTGACACCCATGGCCTTGTTCTGCCAGTACCCTGGCCCAAGTGCTAGTGGTCAGCATCACTGGCAGACAAAATTGCTTGGAAGAAATGAAGGCAACAAGGGTTTATGATGTCTTGGTTTCCCCAAAGTCTGTTTGGGCTTTTGAAATTTCCTGAGTAGGTTTTTACTTCATTTAAAAAACAAACAAACTACTATGTCAAAGTTACAGAAATTGTACCTTTGGGAGATCTGATCTGATCACTGTTGCCATTTTATGGTTGTAATTTGAGATCTTTTTTCTCCCAATGCCAGTCTTACTGATAAAAACAATGGAGACAACATGATAGTTGTACTTAGTGCGATTCTATTTTTAAGACTAGAATTAAGACGGCAATGGCATGTGTTTCAGAATTCCCAATTAACCTTCTGTTGCAGATGTGCTTTTTTCAGAGTTGGGCCAGGTGGGGGGTCCTGAGCATGAAGCACTTATTCCTCAGAAAACTAAGCCACCTGGTATCCCTTGGGTGGACCAAAAGAGGCTGCCAGGAAGCAGTGCCCACTCCAGAGGTTCATGGAGCAAAGCCAACCATGCTTGTATGGAGGCAGCAAACCTGCTTCTATGAGCAGCTCCACAGCATTTTTCAGTCCTGGCTTTCTAAGACCTGTGATGTCTACCACATGGATAAACCCATGGCTGTCATGTGACCCTCTATGACTGTTGTCTTAGGAACAACTTAAACTTCCTCATTGTGCCTCTTTGAGTCCTTGTCTGTATATAATGCTACTTTTCTCTGTGTTTTTTCCTGTAGGTAGATGATTTAGCACTTCAGAGAGAGAGGAAGGCAAGAAAAAAGAAGAGGCAGAGAAGGAAGTGGGTAAGAGGAAGACAAAAGAGGGAGTGAATAGAGGGAGGAGGGATGGGTAAAGCAGGAAGATGAGAAGGTTGTGGAAGAGAAGAAGGAGATGGAGAAGGTGGTGGGAGAAGAGAAGTGAACAGGCATAGAAATAGGAAGGGCAGCGTTATTCACAGTAGCCAAAACAGGGAATCAACCTAATGCCCATCAACAAACAGCTGTTAAAGATATTGTGGAGTGGTGCTATAACTCAGCTATTAAAAAAAGATGAAGTGGGTTTCTTTTGGGACAACATGGATGATGCTGAGTGAAATAAGCCAGAAGTAAGATAATTACTGATAATTTCACTCATTGGTGGGTTATAAAGAACCAAAGAAGACTATCAGACAAAATGCCAAAAAGAAAAAAAAAAAGGACCTCTTAGGCTCTGTGAAAATACAGTAGGTACCCTAGGGGAGGGGAGGGAGGGGAGGGTAGAGGAGCAAAGACCATGAAATATGCGCACGTGGATGTGACTTTGAACCCCCACATTATACAGCTATGGAAATGAACAGCAAGACAATAAAATTCTTGAAAAGGAAGATCAAAGGACTGGGGAGGTGGAAGAGATTGGAGACAAAGGAGAAAAGGAGGCAGGAGAGGGGAGGAGGAATATGAGAACTGGAGGGAGGGGGGAGAGGGAGAAGTGGAAGCAGGGAGGAGAGATCTCTTGGGGCTGTGAAGTCCTGAGGGTGATGTGTCAGAGCACCAGTCCCTGGAAGGAAGAACATGTCCCTTCCCACAGGGCTCCTGTTGGTTTGGGTCTGCTGGCTTCCCCATGTGGCAGGTCATCAATTTGGAGGTGAGGGGGATGGTGTCTTTGGGGTTGGATGTTCAAAAACTCTATCTCAAACCTTTACCACCCATGTTATCAAATCTGAGGTGCCTTGGTGGGTGACTGTCCTCCTTTTAGTCACCCTGAGAAAGAAAAGATGCTCTCTGTGCTTTTCTGGTAATTCCATTTCATAGACAGAATTCACTGAAAGGCTTAAAAACTGATCAGTTCAACTCATAGGAATAAAGAAACTGCACTGTGAATTGCAACATTCTATGAACAGAAGACATATTATTGAATAATCATGCTCTGCTATATTTTAAAAGCCTGAAGGAGAGGTTTTTTAAACAACACAGTTTGAGGGGAAGCCTCTTCTTTAACCAAAGGTATATTGCCTTTACCAGTTGTGAAGTGACATTTCATTTTAAACACATCTCTTAATGTGCTGTTACCCACCTAGCTGGGAAAAACAATGTTTTGTGGAGTGCTTGAGAACTGGCCACGTTTGCAAAATTAACCAGGTTAAGGAAACACAGTGTGTATCACGGCTTTAAGAAAAATGTCCTCGATGAAACTACAAACACGGATTCCTTATCAGTGTACAGATAACAACTTGGGGTTCATGCTGTATGTCAGGACTTCCTCCCTGCATAATCTTTCTATCAGCTTGTGATAGTGGATAAATGGAATTTTGTACATGGTGAACAGTCACCTGTGAAGCCTTGCTGTTCTCAAGCCAGGAGTCAAGGCTGTGGTATACAGCCTTTAGTTTATCCTTAGTGCAAAATAACACTTTGACTTGGACATAGATTTTTTTTAATGAATTACTGCATTTTTACATACCTAAAAAAAGAAAAAGCAAGAACATCATCCACAAGTAAATGTTTAGGTTGTTTCCTGCCTTGGCTTTTGTTATTAATACTCTGAACCCAGGAGTAGAGTATTTCTTTGAAATTTGGATTTCAATGATTTTGGATAAATTCCCAGAAGTGGGGTAGCTGGAACATGTGGTAGTTCTTGTTTTAATTATTTGAAGAACCACCAAAGTTTTCCATAGCAACAGCACCATTACACACCATTATTCTCATCAATCTCATAAGAAAGGTGTAATTATTGCCATTACTTTATAGAAGAAAATCTGAGGCATAGAGGGTTGAGGCCTGTGCCCAGAGTCACAGAGCTAACTCATGGCAACTGGGATGTGAACTGAAGATTCTAAGAACACATATTTTCATTTATGTTGTAAATGTATCCCTCTACTGGAATATTTCCCTCTAGTAAGTGACTCTCTCATTGCCAACTTGACGTAACACTTTCTACTTCCCAGGGGAGAAATAGTTTCATGTTTTTTTACAGATTGCCTCTTCAAATTTCACAGACAAATGCACACCCAAACGCCTGTGTTCTGATCTTAGAGAAGAGCTGTTGAAGATATGTGAACAATGGACACTCCATTTGTTATGAAAGGCCATAACATTTTGAGATTTTTATATCCTCAATATTGACTAAGTACTTCAACATGAGTTCTGGAGCAATTTTTAGTGGGTATACGTTCTCTGTAGTTTGTGAAAGTCTATTGCAAACTTGAGTGTGTCTTCTTCCACCTGATAGAGGAGAAAATAATTATGATTATTGTAAAAAGAGAAATCATTAACATTGCAAAAAAATGTTACCATATGTTAAAGGCTTACTGTGTGCTGAGTTCTGGCATAAGTTTTCATTTAATTCTCACAACAAACCTATAAAGTTAAACCACAAAGACCCTTCTTCAATAGATGCTAAAACTAATTTGATCTCACTTAAAGGTCAGGGACATCTAAGTAAATGTTTGCTTCCAATTGTACCTTCAAGAGAGTACTAAGAACAAATAGAATAAAACTAAACAAAAGAGGAAAAAATGATAAATTGATAACACACACACACTGTTTTTCTATTATAGCATGGTTTACTTTGTGGGAAAGAAAATCAACTACTTTTGTCTGCTGAAGATTTTTAGTTTAGAAATAAAATTGTTTTTGTTCATTAACAATATTTGGAAATACAATTAAAACAAAAAGAAAAATTAGAAATCACCCACAATCACACTACCAAAAATAAACTATTGAAATTACCAAAAACTACTAATTTGAAATTTTGATGCTTAATCTTCAAAATATTATTATTACTAAGATAGAATTTGATAAAAAATATTTCATTTTCATTTTATTTTAGAGGGTAAATATAGTGAAATAAGTATTTTTGAAAATTTTGTCTTTCTGGTTTCTATCCAGCTGTAGGTGAGTTTATTCAAACTCTTTTACTTATCAAAATTCTTTTATTTGAGCTTCTTTCTTAAATTTTGTGATGTAAGGTTGAATATTGTATTCTTTTCTTTGGTAGAAATATTTTTTATGAAAAAGTACTATTTTATATTCTTGCATGTCAGATAAAGTATGTTTGTTTCATGATAAAAAATAGTTAAGAGAATTGGGCAATCATTTTACTGTTAAATTTTTGAGTGATCAAATAATTTATTACATAAAACTTCATTTTCTTTTTTTGCAAAAAATAGAATCTTATAGCCATAATGAAATAGACAATGCTTTGTGACCTGAAAATGAAATACATATTTCCATGTCTATATATTCATATTTGTTAATATCTGCATGTTATTATAAAACTGTATTTGACTTTAAATTTCCCTTAGAGGTTGATGCTTTTGCATTAATTCCTTTTTTTATTTTTTTTTACTATTTTTAGCCATGCTGAGCATTTACTAATGAGCATTAGTTAACCTAAATGTTATTCTAACTAAAACTAGGAAAGTACACAAGTGTCTATTGAAAAGAGTATTAGTTAACATTTGAGGGGTGGGGAGGATATAAATGATGTGATATTGCAAAAGAGGAGATAATTCACATACATGCAGAAAATAACAGGCAAATAATTTTATGATTGTATACTTTAAGACCACTTGGAAATTTAATCAAAACCCCTTGTTTTAATGGGAGAATCTGTGCAACTGAGTATATAGGGTATATAAGATGGAAATAGTTTTTCTCTATATGGGTAAGAACCAACTAGATATTGTTGGAAAAGGAATTCACAGATCTTTTCCTATCTTTAGGTTCTGCATTCATGGATTTAACCAACTGGGAAAGGCATGTTGGAGGGTTGAATCAGGGGCTATGGAACAGGAACACACAGAGAGATAATTCTATAGGATTTTTAATTGCACAAGGGTGTGCCTAACACTCATGTGGTTCAAGGCTCATGAAAATAAAGCAACTTTTAAGCAATAGAAAATAATGTCATGTTCTTATTTGGAAGACACAGAGCAGTGAAATAAATGCCACCTTCAAATTTTATTTTTCAGAAGCTGTAGCTCATTTCCCAGAAGTCAAAGGTAAGTTGATCACAAAGTTTTTCTTTTTTTTTATTCAGAAAACTTTTATTATTAAAGTGCATGCTCTTTTATAAAAATGGGGACATTGGTAGGCCTTTATCTCCTGGTAATTTTTTTTCTCTGCTCTCCATCAAATTTGATATAAATACCTTGTAAGCATAAAGAAAGATCAGAAATAAAAGTCACCCTGAATTTTCACTGGTACTGAAAGATTTCTACTCTTTAATTTCTGCCAGTCTAACAGAGAATGACTCATTTTTATAACAAATAGATAAGCACCTTATATAATCAAAAGTTTAAACAAGCCATTAAGACAGTGACATAAAGACACAATGATGTAAAATAAATAAAAATACTATGCTATAAATAACACACCAGCCTAGAAAGAGTCAAATAATACTATCTGGAGCTTGCTGCCTGCAAGTTCTGCTCATTTTACCACTTTGCTGTCTTAGCTCTCTAATCATTTCAAGAAACTTGATAGGAAAAAGCCCAGGACACCGTAGACCCTAACACACAATAACTGTGTACATGCTTAAGTAAGTAAATTGATGGTGTTTAATGTACAAGTAGTCTATTGTATCAAGTTGTCCCTATTAGATATCTACTTGGAAGAAAATAAAGTTGCAGCTCCGCCCTCCTCTAACATTGTACACAAAACTAAATTTCCATAAAATGTAAAAGAAGCAAAATTATTTAAGAAGAAAAGTGGAAGAAAATACAGGCATATCCTGAAGATCAAAGATTTTTTTAAAGTCAGACAATCTGTTATAAAGGCTAGCATTTAAAAAGTATACATGCTTCCTTCTGATGAAAATTCAGGAAAAAGAACACACTGGTGGAAAAAAGTGAATGGCTGTTTTCCATTTAAGCAAAGCCAATTGATACAAATCATTCATATAAGTTTCCACCTGATCATCTTGATCATAGAAATAAATGCTTCAGGAAGGATCTGCATGCTTGGACTGGTGCTGGGGCTTTATTTACTGAAGGGGGAGGTAACATCTAAATGTGGAAAACATTGACTGAATTGTGTCCAAATCCTTATCACAGACTATGAATCAAAATTAGAAAGGAGCTAGCTAGAGTGACCAGGCAGAAGGATAAATTTGGGAGGGTTTCTAGGATGCGTTAAGTTAGAAGTTCATGTTATGGATAAAATAAAATATTATTTATTATTTATTTATTTATTATTTATATACACATATGTATATATACACACACACACATATAAATCATCTGTGGATTTATATCTATCTATCTTCTATGATTTAGATCTATCTTCTATGTCTATCTATCTGTCTGCCTGTGTGTCTGTCAGCTATCTATCTTGATCTCTGTATCTATCTCTATGTCTCTGAAAGACAGTGACAAGGAGAAAGAGATCTATATGGGTATGGAGAAAAGTGTGGAAAGATACAAACTAAGTTATTTATACACACTCTGTGTATCTGTATCTGTGTTTGATGGTGAAAGTAGGTGAAGAAACACAATTCAGGGTGGGGAATGGTTTTACAGTACATGTCCACATTTATGTTCCTAAGTTTGGGGTAGATTTCTAAAACTGGAGTCAAATGCAAAATTTCAAGACAGTTGATGCCATGGAAAAGGAAGGAGCAGGAGTGGGGGATAAAATCCATCACCTTCATTAATAGGTGCCCCACATCTGTGTCATTGAATGACTGAGCACCCTAAGGGAAATCTCCTGCAGTGCTTTAGACACTCCCACAGACCACTAGCAGATGGGAGGGTGACTTCTCCACTGACACTGGCAGAGACCTGTGATCTTTTTTGCTGTTTGCTTTTCCCAGAGGGCAACTGTTCCTTTCCATTCCACTATGGAAACAAAACCTTCTATGACTGCATCAAGTTCAGGATAAAACACAGCTGGTGTTCATTAAACAAAACCTACCAAGGCTATTGGAAGTATTGCTCAGAAGAAGGTGAGTGTCTGACCTTTGAACACCCCAAGGTGGTGATCCTGGATGCCAAACCTGAGTTTCAGGGAGCTGGATCAGAGGGCTCTGGAAAGGGCTCACAAAACAGTGACAATGATGGTTTGCATAATTCTCTGAATGAAAATCACATTGCCCCAAAGATAGCTGATACAGATGATGGATACTTCATCCTGTGACCTGGAAAAGAATCCTCCATAAACGCCCCCCCCCAACAACCCACAATACTTTGGGATGTGTGTGATGGAGAACAGGGGGTGCAAATGAAAGATTAACTATTCTGGTTTCTTCTTTCTTCCCTGTAGACTATGCAAAGTGTGTATTTCCCTTCTGGTACAAACGCCTGATCTACTGGGAATGCACAGATGATGGGGATGCTTTTGGGAAAAAATGGTGTTCCCTTACCCGCAATTATAACAAGAACAAGATCTGGAAATATTGTGATTGATGGTAAGATCTAAAGGGCAACGGGATGAGGAAGTCTAATTATTCTCCTAGGATAGAATTTGTACTCTTTGTTGGGCGAGGAGCCGGTGGCCCCCTGTTTGAAAGGTGTTTGCCCCCCACCTTGAGATATGACTTCAAAGTAACCTGGATGTAAATAACTTGGGGTTTTGGTTATGAGTAGTGGCACTTTGATATGGGAACCTACTTTTTAGACTTAGCAATTTTACTTGCTGCTGTATTAAAAAGAGCCCCTTTAAAAAAGTCATTAATGAACAACTATGTACCAAAGACATTTTATGGGGGTGGAGTGGGGAATAGGATCAAAAATGGGGGGGGGAGTACACTGGACTATGGTGATGACACAGGTGATTTGGTGATGGGAAGCCCACAGGGATTACAACTGAGATGGAAAAAAGCACAAAATGGTGTAAAAATAAACTATTATTTTAAAAAGTAATGGACTTTGGGTGATAATGATGTCACTGTAAGTTTACCGACTGTCACAAATGTAACCACTGTGCTGGGGAACACAGATAATGTGGGAGGTTTGCGTAGGGGAGCCAGTGGGTACATGGGAAATCTCTGTCCCGTCTGTTCAAATCTGCTATGAACTTCAAACTGCTCTAAAAATATAGTCTACTAAAAATGTATTACCCTAATAAAGAATATTTTATGCTGATAGATAAATGATTGTCACTGTTCTCAGAAAATACAAATCAGGTGGGTTAATCAATTTGCAAAGAGTTGCAGGGTGACAAGACTGTTTTAAAAATGAGATAAAAAAGCTAAACAGAGAATTACCACATCATCCAGAAAATTCTATTCCTAGGAATATACCCAAATGAATTGGAAGCAGGGATTTGAGCATATATTCTGTGTCTGTGTTCTTTTCAGAAGTTTTCAGAATAACCCAGAGGAGGAATGAATCTAAGAGGTTAATTGGATCTTTCAGGTACTGCTATCAACAATACCTTAAATTGATTCTCAGCTCTTCAAAATCAGAAGTTGCAAAGAGAGAGTGTCTCTTCAAGTAAAGATTAAAGATACTAACCCTATTGGACTAAAGTTCTGCCTAAGTTGTTACTACAACTAGTCATAAAAATAATTCTGAAAACCACCCTCATCTACTCTCTACTGGGCAGAGAAATAAATTAGAAATGAATTTAGAATCTCTCTTTGCAAGAGACCTCTCTTCCCCAACCCCATCTCCTCTACCCTCAGCCCCCAAAAGAAATGACTTGACAAGAATGCATTCATCTACAAGTTAGGAACAGAACCCTCACCAGAAATTGAACTGACCAGCTCCTTGAACATGAACTTCCAACGTCCAGAACCATGAAAAAATCAAGTTACATCCTGTAAGCCACCCGGCCCAATGTTCCTTATCCCTAGCAGAGGACATTTTATTTATCTTCCCTACTTCTGAATGCCTCTTCTCTACCATTACTCAACTCTTCTTTTAGTGTAAAGATTGCTTAAATACATTAACCCTCACTTGATCCAGTTTATTTTGACTTGCTGCTATTCATGACTTTTGGGTCATTTTTCTCTTAACCTAGCCACTGAGTTCACTTGACACTAAATTGGGGGGTTAAAGTTTATCTATTGAGTAATCAAAAATCCATTTTATTCACTTGAACAATAATTATAATTGTTAATACTGAAGCAAATGAAAATATAATGAGTTTAAAACTAATGAAATGTGTTAACTTTAAACTACAATCTTTTTTTGTTTTCTTCAGTACCTTTTGGTCAGCCAAGTAAGATTTGGATTATGTCATTTAGAAGACTTCAGTTAACTCTTAAAAGTGACAAATTGACAAATCTTAGTGAAGGCTGACCACCTATCGTTCATTGTGTTCTGCCCCACTATGAAACACTGACATTAAACAAGTCCAGTAAAGGAATAGTTATCTAGCTAATGTGGCCCCCGCTAACAACTAGAAAACCTGGGATTTGAAAAGTGAGCCTGTTTTGTATCAGCACTCATTTATATTCCATGGGTTCTAGAACTGACATTGCAATTAAAATTTCTGAATCAAAACCCAGGACACTCTCTTCATTTTGGCAGAAGTTAAAACTGGAATCCATGTGCTCTCTCTCTGCTAGAATCATCAGTTAACATCTTTCTATTCCCCTGTGATTAGCAGGCTTCATGGGATAGCTGCAGAACCCAAGTCTAGCGTGGCCACCTGTTCTGTTTATATCCTTGGTGTTTGTTTTTTTTTTCCTTTCATCTTTAGTCCAAATTCCTGGTAGGGTAGGCAAGATACCAAGACTGGTTTTGAAAAATATTTTGTCACAGTTGGTGGCATACCTTGGGGCATAAGGACTATTAAGTGGAGCAAGAGAAGAATAATGGGTTCTTTGTGATGCGTGCAGAGCGTCGGGTTCTGAGTCTGTTCAGAGTGTCTTCGGTCAAGCCTGAAGGTTCAGTGTAAAGAACAGGTCTAGAAGAGTTCCCACCCACTCCATGAATTTATTACCACCTCCACAAACTCATGACCAGTCAGGGATATCATGTCCCATCATCTTTGGGAGAACTAGAATTAAGAGCATAAAAAAGTGTTCACCAAAAGACACTTAAAATCAAAGATGCACAAATATTACCTAATAATTAACAAGAAAATAAATATTTGCCACAGATAACAGCCAAAAATAAAGATGAGCAGGACAGGTCTCACATGCTCACTGATGCAACTTGTATAAAAGCTAAGGATTGACAAGGGTAGTGGGGCAGAAAATAATTAGCAGGAATTAAGTCCAGAGAAAAATATCCCCACAAGATGCAGATTACTGGCACACAGGTTAAGAAAGCAGGACCAATGTCCCAAAGCCTTGGAGGCAGCCAGCAGCAGGCACCTGCCTTTGGTGTGGATGGAGTAAGAGCTGACCCTGTAGCTTGGAAGGGCCAGGCTTTTCCTGGAGCCTCTTCACCTGTAAGACCTTGCTGACCAAGGGGGGAGAACAAGATCTCAAAGTCAAATTGCATCTGTACCAGTGGTTGCTTGAGATTTTGCTCAGCTGGTGAAGGTGACGCATTAAGATGGGGTGTTACTACTTCCTTGTGATTGACAGTGGACCTCATTACCTGCCGGGAAGTAGAAGGCCATGTAGAGATTCACGAGCCCAGCAAAAGTGTGCGAAGCAAGGAATCCCATGTCAGTGGGAGCAACTAGGCTTCTCCCGGCTTCCTCTCCTTATCAAAGTTCCTCCACTTGTCTACTATTCCATTTTCTCATCTACCTGAGGCAAAGCAAAATGTGTTTCTAACCAGTTCCTGGTCCCCATTGGCTGGTAGGGGGGGTACCACTGGAAGTAATGTCGGGAAGGAGCTAAGCACAGATAGATACTGAAGGATGAGTGTTAAACCCTGTCCTGATGTCACCTTGGGTTGCCCTGAAGGTGGGGGGCATCCGGCCAGCTGCATCCAGGACACCCACCTTTTCCTTCTCTCTCTCATAAAGAGCTCTTGCCTCTCCTCTCTCCAGATCCCTACAGATAGTTAGGAAGGAAATTCCAAAGGGGGCCAAACCCAGGCCTAGGAGATGTGACTAAGATCCCAGAGCTCACTTCTGTAGGAAGACCAAACTGAAGCCCTCTTTCTGGCTGGGATTTGATTTAAAAAATAATAATAATAAAGGAAGTAAATGATATCAAATGGCTATGAAAGTTTTTGGCAAGATACAGAGCACTTGATTTAGCAAAGGGTTGGGGGACTCACCCCACCTCAGGGCTTCAGCGGGTTGGCTGTGGAGCCCAAGAATTTGCATTGATAGACCTCCCTGGTGGCCTAGGGGTTAAGTCTTGATGCTATCACCACTACAGCCTGAGTTTGATCTCCAGGCAGGGAGCTGACCCACGTGGCACAGCAGACCTCTCCTGTCTCATCCACTGCTCCCCTCAGCAGTGTATTTCAGTCAATCCACCTGTTCTGCTCCCCACTCTGTCTCTGGCAAATCTTTGCAACTTCACCCCGCCCCATTCTTATAATAAATACAAAAATAATGACAAAATTAAGAGAAAAATAAAGTTAAAAAAAAAGTTTGCATTGAGAAGGGTCCAGCAGAAAGATGCCACATTTGATTTGCAAAAGGCAGCTATAGAGCATTTTATGATCCATGTTGTTCATATTTTAGGCACTCTGAGATTTAGGGCATGAGAGAAAAAATGCTATGGAACAAATCCCTGAGGTGTGGGGGAGGGGCGGGAGTTGGAGATTATAAAACCAGAGGCAACATCCCTACAGTACAGACAGTCCACAGGTAGCTGGAGGTGATGAAAAGTCTGACCAGCTGGGTGTCCCTGGTTCTCTGTGTGTCTGTGCTGAATGCAGGTAAGACGGCCAGGTAAGGGAAGAGAAGAAGGAGGAGAGAGGATACAGGAAGAAGAGAAGCATAGAGGGCAGTGGGTTTTGGTAAGAAGTGGCCGAAGCAGAGTCCACCACTGTCTGTAATGTCTTGTAAATGGTTGGTATAGAGAGCGCATTTGGAGAGTGCTGGGTTCCAGTTCTATTCTCTTACCAGCACAGGCACAGTGCTGTAACTTCCCCTCTCTATGGATCATGCTCTTACAATGCTTCCTCTGGGTGTGTGTTCTAGGGCAAGTGACTTTGTGTCTCCTTAAGCCTCAGTCTTCTCATCTATAGAAGAGTCAGGATCCTCTTTAAGGAAGAGGGGGAGTGGCAGTCCTGACTCAGTCATAGACCGTTGTGGGGGACACCACATGAAAGGAAGTAAACCAGTCACCGAAGGTCAATCAATACTGTACAGCTGCACTTACATGGAGCAGCTAACATGGTCAAACTCGCAGAAACAGAGTAGAATGGTGAATGAAATATCTAGCTCATAGAAATAGGGTAGAAAGGTGGCTGGGGAAGCAAGGGGGTGTGAAGTTTGTTGTTTGGATGGCTAGAAAGTTTCAGTCATGCAGGAAGAAAAGCTCTAAAGATCCGAAGGCCCACATTGAGTTACAGTACTATCACAAGCATTTAAAAATTTA